CTGCGCGGGCGTGCACGCCCAGGCCGGCCTCGCTGCCGACCTCCGCCAGGGAGACCGCGCGCACGCCAGCGCCGGCCAGCTGCTCGCCCATGAGCGAGGGCTCGGGGGGCCGACTTGGCAAGACGAAGGATACTATCTCGGGGAGACGTAAGACCCGGGCACGGGGGACTCGGAAATCCCCGACGAGGTCGTCAACAAAATGACGAGGCCGAGCCTGCATTTTGACGAGGCCTCCCGCTGCAGACATCCCGCGAAACTCCTCCTCGTCAAAATCCGAGGCGCGGTCGTCAAAAAACGATGGCGAACCCGAGTCCCGGCAAACCCGGGTCTTACGCTCCCCCGACGATCGAGTGAGGAAACATCGATAACCTCTGAGACCCGGCGGCTCTGGAGGATGCATCGGGCGCCGAGGCCTTCTCAGAGCGTTCCTGCACGCTCCGAGAGCGTTCCAGAACAATTGTATCCTCGTCCCAGCCCCGTCCGAATCGGGGCACGGGTCCTCCTTGGCGACTCAAAACTCAAAGAAAACAAGCAATAATCAAACCACATTCAAACGTAATCAAAAATAATCAGATTGCCTCCAGGCGGCCCCAGAGGCCCCGAAGACGCCCCACGAAGCCACCAAGAGGCGTCCCAAGAGGCCCTCCAGAAGCAAACACCATCCCAATCCCGAGGGAAAACGTATATGCTTAGCACCCTCGCCTCTTGGGCTTTTACGAGGCCCACAACAGCCCACGAAGCCTTCAAGATCGAACCAAGATGGCCCAAGATGCCAAAGATGGCTCCAAGACGGCCCAAGAGGGCCCCAAGACGGCTCCAGAAGCATCCAAGACGGACCAGGCCGGCCCCAAGACGGCCCCAAGATGAGGCCCAGGGGGGGAACCCGGATGGACATTTCGAGCACTCGGCCCGGAAAAAACCCGAGTAGGCGCCAAGAGGCCGCCAAGAGGCTCACACGAGGCCCCCGAGCGGCCCAAAAGAGGCCCCTAGAGGCCTCAACACGGCTCCCAAGAGGCCTCGAAAGTGCGCCAGGAGAGCCCGCAGAAGCCCAAGAGCAGAGCCGCGCTCCGCCAACCGCCCCCGACGAAATCCCAAGAAGCTGAAACCCCAATATATTCCCCAGAAATCGCGCGCGTTCCGCAAACTCCGTTTTGCACTCTTACTGCCGCCCCAAGGGGTCGGCGGCGCGGCGTCAGCCAGTGCATCAAAAACAATCGAAAAGTTGGACGGGTGATAAGGACGCAAGACCCTTGGAGGCCGAAAGTGGGTTTTGTAGGGCGGCGGGCGACCAGTGATAATGGCAAGGACGAGCCTCAGAGGCAAGGACACAAGGGTACCCTAGATGAAGGCGCGCTATTTTGCACTATTCCTCCTGTAGAGGGACATGCCCGACGTAAGCCTTGACTGTTTTCTTATTTGACTATTTTGCACTATTCCTCCTGTAGAGGGACATGCCCGACGTAAGCCTGCTCCCGAGACCAGCTCTTTTCCTCCTGGGCCGTTTTCTGACGGTTCCTGGGCCCGTGCAGGGCCCCAGGAGGCCCAAGTCGGCGAAACGCCTCCTCCTCCTCCTCCTCCCTCCTCCTCCCTCCCTCCTCCTCCACCTCCTCCTCCTCCTCCCCCTCCTCCTCCTCCTCCTCCTCCTCCTCCTCCTCCTCCTCCTCCTCCTCCTCCTCCTCCTCCTCCTCCCCCCCTCCTCCCCCTCCTCCCCCCTCCTCCTCCCCCTCCCCCCTCCTCCTCCTCCTCCTCCTCCTCCTCCTCCCCCTCCCTCCCCCTCCCTCCTCCCCCTCCTCCCCCTCCTCCCCCTCCCCCTCCCCCTCCCGACCCGCTTTCCCAGTGGCGACCGACCGACATCGAAGGCTCGGCCCCCCGGGATAGCAGCCAGGCGCCGACCCCCTGCCGGCGCAGCGCCTCCTCCACGAACAGCGCCCCCACGGAGAGGTCGGCCAGCTCCTGCAGGACGTGGGCGACGGAGCGCCCGCCCGCGTCGAGCAGCACGACCGGGGGGGCCACCACCTCGGAGCGCCGCTTCGGGCGCGCGCTCGGACCCGCGGGGGGGCTGCTGACCCTACAACGACGTTGGGCACGCTGGGGCCGCTCTGCTCGCTTCCGTGGTCTACGCGTTCCGCCTCGGGTGAGTTCTGCTGTTCGTGTTGGGGTCCTCGTCCGCGCCGTGTTCGGTCCGATGCCGTGCTGTGCTGCCGTCCTCGGTTCTGTGTCGGGCTGCCCTCTTTCGCGCGCGGGTCCGCCGAAAGCCGCGGGCGGCCCGCCAAGGAAGGCGGGGGGGCTTCCTCGGAAGCCGCCCCAGCCTCTGAGAAGCCGCAGCTCGGGCGCGGGCTAACATGTGGTGCGCGGTCGCCAGGTCCACGGATCGGGAAGGCCACCCCCCAAGAAATGGCGTCAGTGCCGTCTGATCTGGCGGCGGAGCGCACCGATCGTGTGGAAACGGGGCCCGTCGCTGATCCACGCGCCTTGCAGCCAACCCGTACACTGAGGACGCACGACAAGGACGCAATGGCCTTGGAAGGCCATGCCGGCACTCTGCGAGCAGGGCGTGGCCAGCGAAAGCGGCCAAGGATGCGCCGAAGGAGAAGGATGCAAGGCTAACCGTGGGCAGGTGTTCATCCTTGCTTGGCTCTAATCCTTGTGTGTGTGGTGTTCCCTCGCTTCTCTCGGGCCGGGCGAAAGGGGGGGGTAGCAAAGGGGGGGTTTGAGAATCAGCTCACGTAGCTGGTTTTCCTTCGCCGGGAGGCGCCCATGTATCGAGGAATGGGCCCAGCGGCGGGGCCGAAACCAGCTGCACGCAGCAGATTTCGTACCCCCCCCTTCCCCTACGCCCCCCCCCCTTTCGTTCGGCCCGACTCTCCGAACCCTCCGGGCCCTTCTCCGAGAAGCGCCCACCGCGCTCGCAGCATGGGCCCCTCCTGCCTTCCTTCGCGGGCGCCGGCCCCCCTCGCGCCACGCCCTCGGGCGCGCCGCTGGGTGCGACGACAGAGGGGCCTGCAGGGTAGCGACTCGCAGAGCGCAGCACGGCAAGTTCGTGCGGCGTCGGCGCGCGCAAAGGCTTTTAAACAATGACCCCATCGCGGCCCCGATCGTTCACGTCGTTCGGGCCCTGTGGCGTTACCGTGCCCCTCGGTACTTCCGCGCCTTTTGATCGGGCCGAGTTCAGCCTTGAACGCTTTCGCCAGCGTCGTCAGCGCGCCATCGCCGCATGAACCTGCCGTACAAAGACAGGCCCAGAGCTCCAGTCCCAGCTTCCTGCGACACCGACGCAGCACTGCACACTGCAGATGCGCTGAGAGACAGCACGCGCGCCGCCCTCACACCCAAGTGTGGGGCCAAACGCACGGTCGAAATCGTGACACCAACAAACCTGGTACACAGCTAAGTTGGTGGGAAGAAAATCCCAGACGCAAAATGGGCATGGAAGCCCCAGCCAGACATGAAACAAACCTGGACTTCCACAGGACCGACAGAAATCATCAGGATCGGTGGGTACCGAACCTGGACATCGGATCGAATCAAAAAGAGCGGCGTCGAACGAACGGAGGCCCTCGAGGGCCTGCTCGTTGATGTAGACCTCAGCATCCGCCCCCACACCTCTCCGACCCCCCGCAAGACGACCACGGGGGACAAACTCCGGGGGAAGGCCACGGATGACTCTGGGGGCGATTCGGCGGCGCGGCCTGCGGCAAGAACCATCGAACCTTCTGCCAGGGTCGACCGCCAGCTTGAGAACCTCAGACGGCACCCTGCGCAGTGGGGCCGCCTTCCTCCTCGGGGCCTTCACAAGCAACTCAGACACCTATGCCAGGTCATCCCCTCCCTCCTCGACGCAAGCGAGGCCGTCGCGCCCGAGCGGAGGTGGGGGAGGGAGGGGCCCGAAGCAGCGCTTCTGAAATTTCACGAAGTGAACTGGCGCAGCCTGTAGGCCACCACTAAGCCCATCATGCGAGGCATGCTCTTGAATTTCAACAGTCCGCGTGAACGATTCATCAGGAGCATTGTACAGCCGCTTCTGTGGCCCTCTACATTGACCCGCGAGCAAGTGCGCAATTCTCCAGACTCCGGCGTGCTTCTAAAACTTCCAGCTAGACGCGACCCCCTCAACGAGCAACGACGATACCTCCTCGAATCGATGCCTCCGGAGCTGGCGAAGTTGCATAGACACTCGAGCGAGCTCCATCGCCGCCCCCAGACCATCACCTCCCGATTTTCTCATGGAACGGCGCAATGCTAGAAACCTGGATCTCTCAGCTGCGAATGCCTGAGCTTTCTCGTCATCCTCCGAACGTATACCACAGTGCTTCTCAGCAGTCGCCTAGACACGCGTGTTCCACATTTGCCAAGCATCGTTAGGAGCAGGTGCACTAACCAGCAATTCGTAGAAACCGAGGCCATCGAACTGGCTCTCCAGAGCTCGAATGACATCCGCCACCCGCGCGCCCTTCTTAAGAGCCATCGCAAGCTTTTGGAAATCCCACTGGGCACCCTTTGAGCGAGACCACGACATGTCGAGAACGTTCTCAGCACGTAACAAGATCGGCACATGGACCTGTACCCCATTGTTCTTTATGAGTTTGAGCCGCTGGTTCGCATCCCGAAGACCTTCACACCTCTTTACCGAAAGACACTGCCACTCCAAGATTGCCACGCAGTCTGACGCACTCGAATTGCTATGACCGAGCCATGTATCACCCACTCTGAATTCCATGGAGATCGCCCGCGTCGCAAATCTCTCCAGAACGCCCAAGAGTTTGCAATATCTCTGCTCTCTTAACGACTATGTGAACAACGAGCTGCAAAACGGATAGGGACCACACCATTACCTCAAAGTCCTTGGAGCCGAAAGAGTCATTCAGACCGACACCGAGGAACACAGCCGACCGAGTACAGGTCCACGTCGAACTCTTCTCAATCCAGGAGCAGATACAGTCGACTGTTGCCCCACACTGCCCCAAAGGGCGAAGGGGCATCTCACCTCGACTCCCTACCTTCTTTTTATTCCCGACGGGCGGGAAGGAAACTACCCCATATGCAGCAATAGATCGAATCGCCCCGATCGAACCCGATGGAGCGCCACACGACCTGACAGATCCCCAGACACGGGAGGGCAGACGACGATGCACTTCTGACGAAACGTCCTCCTCCTCGGGAGCAGGGTGAGACCACACGACGAATTCACGTGCCTTCCAGGAACGAAACCACTCCACAGCGCAATGTGGTGCTTCCGATGTGTTTGGACCAGCGTAGATCCACGAGCCCGCTCTCCCGTCGGAAAACGAGCCACGATATCGACATCCTTGAATTCGTCAGAAAATCTCATGCAGTCGCTGCTCGTCAGCAGCCGCCGTACAGATCCAATTGATATATGAGGGCATGGCGGCGGCGAGAGCTGGCCGTGGGGCCATCATGCCTGAAGCGAGTCCAGCCTCAGAACGTGCTGGAGCTCTCCTGCCCCTGCGTGTGCCATGTCTGGGCCGGGGGGGGCTCCAAACGGGGAGGAGGAGGAGGAGGCAAGGGAGGAGGAGGATGAGGAGGAGAAGGAGGAGGAGGAGAAGAAGAAGGAGGAGAGCGATGACGACGACGACGACGAGGACGACGACGAGGCGACGACGACGGACGACAACGGACGACGGCGACGAGGACAACGGACGACGACGACGGACGACGGACGACGGACAACGACGGACGGACGACGACGGACAACGGACGACGACGACAACGACGACGACGACAACGACGACGACGAGAAGACAACGGACGACGACGACGACGACAACGGACGACGGCAACGACGACGAGGGATGACGGACGACGGACGACGAACGACGACGACGACGAAGGACGACGGACGACGGACGTCGGACGACGACGACGACGACGAAGATGACGACGACGACGAAGATGACGACGACGACGACGACGGCGACGGACGACGACGACCGACAACGACCGACGACGACGACGACGACGACGACGACGACGACGACGACGACGTAAGAGAAGTGCGGCGTGCTGCGTGCTGCGGGGACCGCCTCCGAGCCCACCAGCGCGCGGACGTAAGGCTCGGGGTACCTCGCTGCCAAAAGTCGCATCCGTATCCGCGGCCTCGCGGGCCCGGCTCCTGGGCCCCGAACCCGCGGATGCGGGGCGCTTCTTCGCGGATGCCCTGCGCGGAACGCCTCCGTGCCATCCAGACTGGGGACCGTCCTTTTCGAATCGACGGTAACCCGGGTTCTCGGGGGGGGGAGGGGGCCGGCCGAGAACCTAACCTTCGCGCTGTGGGCAGCCCTGCATATGCCCGCGCGCACCGGTGCTGCGGCCCCTATAGCTGCGAATGATGCTGCCGCGATGCTACTCTTGGTGATGCGACGATGCGGGCGCCGTCTGCGAATGCCTAGGGATGCCTGGACAGCTCGCATTGGAATACGCGGAATGTGATTGCTAAGCGTAGCCGCGAAGTCTTGTGTACACTCTTTATAGACCACGCGTACACCACACTGCCTGTGAGCACTACAAAACATGCGTGCGCCACAACGGTCTTGCACACCAAAGGTGCTGCTGCAGCAGAGGCCTCTACGTGCACCATAGCGTCTGTGTACACCCCGATGCCTGTGCATACCACAGGCCTGTATACACGGCACAGCGCCTGTGTGCACTTTGGTGCTTGTGCACGCCACAGAACCGCGTGCACAACAACGCATGGCGAACATTTGCGCCACAGCGCTTCCGTGCACCTCCGAGGTCCCGCCGGGGCCCAAATTCAATATGTCAGTTACTTGTGATTCTTGATTTTTCCGGCCGGGGTGCGGTCCCCCCGTTTTTGGCCGACCATGTCTGTGTACACCACAGCGCTTGTCTAGCGTGCGCCTCGACGCCTTTGTACACCACAGCTGTTTGTGTACACCGCAGCGCCTGTCTACATAACAGTGTCTGTGTACACCACAATGCCTGTGTACATTACAGCAGCCGTGTGCACCGCAATGCCTGTGTACACACCACACACACTGCCTGTGCACACGACGACGACTATGTGACCACGTCTGCTGCTTCAGCACCATACTCGTGCACCACAGCTCAAGAGCACCAAAGTGCTTGTGTACACCACAAAACTGCGTACACTTCCAGGGCCCCCGGCGGGACCAAACTCCGGAAAATCGCGGGGGATCCGAACGTATCAAATCCAATATGTAAGCTATGTGTGATTCTTGTTTTTTATTGCGCAGGGAGCGGTCCCGTTTTTTGGCCCACTACGCCTGTGTACACCATGGCGAATGTGTGCACAGCAGCGGATGTGCACACCGCAGCGCCCGTGTACACTACAAGGTGTGGTACACCGCAACGACCGTGTACCACAGTGCTCCTGTACACCACCATGCCTGGGATGTTTGCGTGAATGATAACGTTGTGCACACCACAGAGCCTGTCTTCACCCAATTGCCTGGTGCATCACGATGCCCGCGTGCACCGCGCGAATTACGTGCACTTATGCTTCGTGCACCACAAAGCCTGCGTACACAACAGGTCCTTCTGTAACAACAGCAGATGCGCGCACCAAATCGCCTCGCTGCCTGTACACAGCGCAATGCCTGTGTACGCGCTGCTCACGTGCACCTCCAGATGTCTATGGACGACGTCGTCGTCGTCGTCGTCGTTGTCGTCGTCGTTCGTCGTCGTCAATCGTCGTCTGTCGTCGTCTGTCGTCGTCGTCATCGTCGTCTCTTTGTGCCACTCCAAGCCCCAACGGTTCGCCAACGTGCATCCAAATACCAGCATGCTGTGGCGAACACCACCGAAACGTTGAACACAGCGCTCCCTGCGAGCTCCCTGCGCCCCCCCCGCCCCGGGACGTGCACAACCGGCTAGGTGAGGTGAACCCGGGCAATCGCCGGACCCTGATCAAAAACAGTCTCCTGCGAGGGCGCGGACACAGTGCGGATGCTAGGGGGCCACATGGGAACCCTACCCCACCCTCCCCCTCAGAAATCGTGGGGGGTAGGGGTAGGGTTCCCATGTGGCCCCCTAGAGGCCTTCGCCGCTCGCGGGCACCGCCCCCGCAGCGCCTCCGCCAGCCAGGGCCGCAGCTCGTGCGCCGCGTGATCCACGCGCTCGGCGCGCGCGGCCGCCGCCGCCGCCGCCGGGCTCGGCACCGCGCTCCGCGCCGGCCCTGCTCGGGGGGGGGGCGTCGGCGGGCCACCTCGCCGAGCCTGGAGGGGCCCATGCGGAGCCCAGGAGCGGTGCCCCCGCCAGAGGTCGCCGAGGGCCGTGGCTGCGTGAGCAGGGGCGGGGCGTCCTGGCAGTCCTGCAGGCCCAGCGCGAAAGCTCGGAACGCAATGGGTGCTCTCTGAGAGCAGGACCAGAATGTTCTTGGAACGTGAGGCTGGCATGCTCCAAGAAGGCGGCCTCGGCCAGAAGCAGTCTGAGAACATGCCGCGTGCAAGCCACAAGAGGCTCTTAGAACATTCGTGGGCGGGCCTGTAGGCATGCCAGGAGGCTTCGTCGCTGCTTGAAGAGTCGCACATCGCGTGATGGGCCGATTTTCCACCACCACCACCATAGGTAGGAGAGGGAGAAGGAGGAGGAGGAGGAGGAGGAGGAGGAGGAGGAGGAGGAGGAGGAGAAGAGGAGGACGAGAGGAGAGGAGGACAAGAAAAGGACGAGGAGGAGGAGGAGGAGGAGGAGGAGGAGGAGGAGGAGGAGGAGGAGGAGGAGGAGAGGAGGGGGAGGAGGAGGAGAGGAGGAAGAGGACGAGAGGAGGAGGAGGAGGAGGAGGAGGAGGAGGAGGAGGAGGAGGAGGAGGAGGATGAGGAGGAGGAGGACCTCCCCATCCTCCCTTCTCCCCCCGTCCTGCATAGGGTAGCGGTGGTGGACAAATGGCCCATCATCGCGGCCCGCGAGGCGCGACGCGCGGGCTGCCCCCGCGCCGTCGAGGGGCCGCCGTGGAGAAGGGCAGAGCTCTGGCCCGGGCCCCGGCACGCGGAGCGCCTTCGCGCTCCTCGGGGGGGGGGGGGCACCTGGTCTGCTGCGCCTCCCTGGCCAAGCCAGGAGGGCGTATGCATCGCTCCACGACGACGACGTCGACGAGGACGACGAGGACGAGGACGAGGACGAGGACGGCGACGGCGACGGACGACGACGGACGACGGACGACGCCTCCGGGCCTTGGCCAGGGGGGCGCACACACCGAGCCTGGGCGAAGGATGGGCCCCGCCAGGATCGGCGATGCGGCCAGTTGACGTCGCCCGGCCTGCTGGCGCCGCGAAGGCACGCGCGCGGCCTGCATGCACAAAAGCGGCGGACAAACACGAATCGACGAATCGTGTCGGATCGGACCGTGCGTCGGATCGACCAGCATCGGCACGGAACCCGAGCCGGGTCGGACCGACCGCGCCAGGATGCGCAACAGCGACGTGCAGGCATCAGGCCGCACCGGATCGTCGGAAGATGTTGGAATCGACTCGGATCGGGTAGGTCGAAACCAAAGTGGAACCATATCGATCGGATCGAACTGCGCCCTGGTACATGGCTCGTTGCGCAAGCCCTGAGTCCAAAAACGTCCCCACCTCTTGCAGGGCCGGTTTTCACTTCAGCAGGATTCCGCCAGCCTGCCCGCCGGTTTCTGCCAGCGGAGGGGACTCCCCTGCTCTACTTCAGCTGGTTTCCGCGGGCCGTCCCGCCGCGCGCCGCCGAGGGGGACGCGGCAACTTCTCGACCCCTCGGAGGCGAAACCCTCTCTGGAGCGCGACATGGAATGGTACAGCAGGGGCCCGACCACAAGAAACCTTCCACAAAAAATCCAACCCTGAGACCCCAGGATGTCCATGATACTGTGGCGCGGGAGCGTCGCACTTTCCATCGCAAAACCATCGACACCCAAGAAACCCAGGGCACCCTAGAGGCGAGCGAGGTTTCTTTTGGCATGGGCCTCCACTGTAAGGGAGGCCTCCGTTTTTTGCGCTCATGTCGTCCTCTCACGTCATGCAGACGAAACGCGGCCGCGAGGCCGCGGTCAAGCACCCGAGGCCCGTCGCCGAAGACCCGCTGTCCAAGGCCCCCTGGAAGTGCCCCAAGCGAAGAGAGATCCAGGGCAGAGAGCTCTAGGACGGAAGGCGCAAGGAGGAGGAGGAGGAGGAGGAGGAGGAGGAGGAGGAGGAGGAGGAGGAGGAGGAGGAGGAGGAGGAGGAGGAGAGGAGGAGGAGGAGGAGGAGGAGGAGAAGGAGGAGGAGGAGGAGGAGGACGAGGAGGAGGAGGAGGAGGAGGATGAGTTTTTCAACAGGCGCGGCGCCAAGCGTGCAGGCACAGCCAGGCCGCTCGGGCACAAACCCGACCGAGGGTACAAGGGCTCGAGCACCTCCCTAAAGGGGAGTGCCAGCAGGCGCAGCCAGGGGCCTACAAACCATCTGCAGCCTCGCCCACGACTACCAAGTCTCCGACCAGGCTGCCGAGGACGAAGTCCGCGAACGGCCGAGGCCTAACCTGGCCGCTGGCCAAGGGCAGAGGAAGACCAGTGCGCGGGTGCTTGCCCTCCCACAGGCGACCCACGCGGGGCCGCGTCTGTGGGGGCACAACCCCGAGGCAAGGCTGCGTGAGGAGCTGAGTGTTCTCGCTCGAGTGCGCTCCGCACCTCGCGCAGACAAGGAAAGGGCCCACGCGCCACGCGCGGTGGACACCTCCTGGGCTGCACGCCGCAGGCGCGTAGCCATCACGCGTCCTGGCGACGCGGAAACAGCGGCAGCAGCGGAAGCCCTTGCCGCAAGGCACAGGCTCGTGTGCGCCAGCGGGCAGCACCACGTCTGCCGTCAGCGCGGGGGCGGCCCCTCTGCGCCGAGCACGTCGCAGGTGGCCGTGCCGCGGCGCATCCTGCTGGCTGGGGTCCGCTGAGCGCAGCACCCGAGCCAAAAACTTGGCGAGAAGGGTCACCAGGTGAAGGGTGCGCCTGAACCGCTCCAACGCGGCACTGTCCGCGGGGTGGAGGGCAGCTCCTTGTCGGGCGCCGAGGTCGGCGAAGTGATTTCCCCAGCGCTTGATCAGGCCACGCTCGACGGCGCTGCCATGACAGCGTCGAGCGTGGCTTTTGACCTTCACAACCGTGACGTCGCCACCTAGGTCGTCTACGCGATCCCAGATGCGCGCCCAGAGGTCGCCTGCCTCGCACTGGGCTCCAGCGGCCTCAGCGCGCCCGCGCTCGAAGCTGGAAGCCACCCAGGCGCAGTCCGAGTGGAAGCAGTAGGGCCCCAAGGCCACGTGCGTCAGAAACATGAGGAGGGCAAAAGCCTCCGCAAGATCGGACGCCTGGCGCGGCCCTGGGGGCGGGCCGCAAAGGGAGGCGGTCAGGCATCCTCGCCCGTCCACCTGGACAACCGACCAGCCCGCTCTACTGAGTCGGGGGTATCCCTGTACTGGCGTGGCACAGGAGCCGTCACCGAAGGCCTCGCCTTCGATGCTACCAGAGCCAGGCCGCCTGAGCCACTGGACGAGGAGGGAGGGCGCGGGGGAAGGGACAGAGGGGCGAGGGTCGGAGACCAGGGCACGCGCCCAGAGGGCCCAGGTCGAGTGCCCCCCGAGGTCCCGACGCAGGGGCGGGGGGGGGGTCATACTCGCGAACAAAGGCCCACGTCGCTGAGAACTGGCCTGTCCCCCAGGCCTCGAAGGTCCCCGGGCAGGATTCGATGCAACAGTGTGGGCACGTGCGACTGCGCGTGAGGCCGTGGCGAACTTTGCGGGCCTGGTCCCAAACGCCATTCGAGACAATCGCACGGAGAGTCGCCCGGCGTCGAGCCGCCCACCCGGGGCCAGCCCTACCGATGCAGAGGCGACGGAGGGGGGCGAGGCAGGGGCGGGCAGGGAGGCCAGACATGTACTCAGTACTCTGCTGGGCTCGATCCAGCAGCCAGTCCTCCGTGCTCAGACGCGCGAGGTGCAACGCAGATCTCGGGCAAACCGCGGTGATATAAACCTTGAAGCCCTCGCTGGTATCTCGCGCGCAGACTCCAGGGCCCAGCTTCCAGCCGATGCGCCTACAGCTCGCCGGGGCCGCCGAAATCGGGCCGCGGACGAGGGCCCATTCATTGTTTTCACCTGTGGGCCGAGCCAGGGCGGCCTCGGAGGCGAAAAAAACTCGGGCAATCCACTCCCGAGGCAGCCGCGACTCCCAGACGGCCTGAGCGAGCAAGTGAATCGGACTCACCGCGCAAGCGCACGCAGGGTCGACCGACCCAGGCACCGAGGGGGCGAGGTGGAGGTCGAGGGCGAGGGAGCGACGAGCGGTCCGAACGAAGAGGGCGGCATGCGCAGCTCGGCGCACCGGCTCGATCCTACTCCACGCCCTCCCCGTAACACCGCCCCCCAGGTACCAGCGGGCGTGAGACCGAGAGAGACGAGCTGCTGCGTTTTGCCTCTAGCGGCACACAGCGCGCGGATGCGCGCCGAGCGCCTGATCACCGTGGCCACGCGCATGCCCCGCGTGGCCGCGCCAGGCCGCCGCCCGCAGCCGTAGTCCACGGCCAGTTTCCTCGCCGACTTGCGGCCCTTGCAACGCCTCTGGACCTCGCGGCTGCACTCGGCGGAGCTGGCCAGGACCGCGCCCTTACCATCGTTCACGACGAGGCCGCCCGCCAGGAGCCCACTGCGGAGCTGCTCGTAGGCGCCGCTGACCTGCGCGGCCACGCGCCTTGCCATGCCCGTCTGGGCCAGCTGGACGTCGTCGACGACGCTGCCGACCCGCGCCGCGCCCAACTCCACGATCGCGTCCAGCCTCGGCAGCAGGAACACGCGCATGCACAGGTCCGCGAAGCTGCACCCTGCCACGACGCCGCGCTGGGGTGCACATGCTTCTGCGGCCACTCCTTGGTAGCAGACGACGCGCGGCGTCGCGTGCACCTGGAGCAGGAAGCGCAGCAGGCGAAGGTTGAAGCCGAACGCCTCGGCCCGCTTGGGCAGCAGCGCCCGCGGGATGTGCTCGCAGGCCTTCGACAGGGCCATGAGCACGGCGCAGGCCGCCAGGCCGCGGCGCGTCGCCACCTCAGCCGCGGCGGCCTGGATCCAGACGCAGGTCTCGCAGCTCAGACCTGCCGCGCCGTAGATGGAATCCCGACGGTGGAGACAGGCCCAACTGGAGCCATTGGTGTTCCTCGTCCACCGAGCGAAGGGCCGTGGGACTCCTGGAACTAGAGCGATGGCGCGAACTCCGCCTTCAGGCTTCGGCAGGAGGACCATCTGCATCGCTGCCGGTGCCTTCGGCACGTGCCCCAGCTCCAGCATGCGCCGCCAGAGCTCGATGCAGGCCCCGAGCGCCTCGTCGCACAGCACGGCCACGTGGCGCGGGTGGATGGCGTCGCAGCCCAAGCCCGTGAGGTGGGAAAAAGAGTTCCAAACCTGGCGCAGCTCCTCAACGCTCGGCAGGCGTGGGAGGTCGCCCAAGTCCAGGGGCCTGGCGACCGCAGCACGTCCTCCACCTTCGCCCCACAGCACGCGCCACGGGCTCGCCGCCGCCTCCGCAACCAGCAGCGCCGACTGGAGGCCCGCGGAAGGCTGCCAGCGGTCGGCAGCCCAAGGCGCCGCCACCGACGGTGGCCTCGCAAGACCAGTCCAGCCAGGCCCTGTAGCGGCGGTGGGCCGAGCGGCCCTCAGCGGCGCCCGCCGCCCGCCGGAGGTCCTCCAGGAGCGCGCCCACCGCGGGCTGCTCCAGGAAGTCCAGCCTGCGGACGAGGCGGCGCAACGACTGCCAGAGCGTCGGGTCCGCTCCCGCCACGGGCGGCTCGAAGCGGAGCAGCTGCACCTGGATGCGCCTGGCGTGCTGGTGGCTGCCCGACTGTCGGAGGACGCGCCACTCGCGGACGCGCTCGGCAAGCCAGCTCCAGTGCTGCTCAGCGGGGGCCGCCTTCGCAGTGGGCGCCCACTGCTGCCGCTGGCGATGGAGCTGCACCTTGACCAGGCGCGCTCATTCGCCCCTGCCACGGTAGCGGTCCGCCTCACGGCCCTCTGCCAGGCCGAAGTGCTGGACCAGCTCGTCATCGCGTCGGTCCAGGACGCGCCTGCAGGCGGCAACCGAGCCTGCTGCCGCCGTGACCGCCCACAGGTCGGCAATCACGTCCTGCCATCCTGGTGGGGGCAGCTGCGGCCCGATCAGCATCTCGGCAGGGAAAGCCTTCGGGCGGCGCAGGCGGAGGACCGTGGCACCAGGGGGAGGCATGGCCAATCTAAACACCACCGCCCTGTGGGTGCGGACCGCAAATCGGTCGCACCGACGCAGGGCCTGGACCTCTGCGAGCTGGTCGA